CACACACACACACACACAGAACTCTGCAACAAAAAATTCCTGCTTGCATCACAACTGCTTCCTAACACTCTCAGTTCAATTCCACGCACTCATGACTATCCATCCCAGGGGTGCGTCACGGGGTGGGAGTGGAATTACTCAGAGAACTGAGTACATAGCAGCTACTGACCCCACCTGATGTCCTGCACCAGAAGGCAGTGAGCAGACCAAAAGTGCATTGAGATTATCCAAATCCATGGGTGCACTCGAACACCTCTCTCTCACACAATTTCCACACACATCACAGGAATCAGTAATAATAATAGTAATAAAGCCGCTTTCTTCAACCTGGCCATCAGTCGCTTATAGGTAGGTCCTGAAGCAATCCGGATGGGAAAACGAGCTGAATGGCTGTCCTTGTCTGCTTGACACTGTTTCTGCAAATTCCACACAAGCAGAGCCCCCTGCCCACACTTCTCCCTCAAAACTGGCCAAAGGTGCTGGCCACTGAAGCCAGACCCAGATGGTGCCGCAAACGGGCCTGCAAAGCACCCATATGTGTGCCTCCTACCAGTAATTTTTTTTTTCTTTTTATCTTTTTTACTGACCAGTAACGGGATCGCAACCCTCGGTGTCACGCCCACACCGGGGACGGCAATGGGATTGCAACCCTCGGTGTTGCGCCTGCACCGCGCTCAGCCAGTGAGCGGGAACCGGTCTCCACATGGGATCCGAACCCTAAAGGCAGGGATGGAACTACCAGTAATTTTTTATGTTACATTTTATAAACCCAAGTCAATATTTTTCAAGATAAATAACAAATATCAGAGACTTCAATTTCATTTCCAACCAGTGGTTTACTGATTTTGCTTCCTTTTTCCTGTTCCATCAGTTAGGTCATGATCAGTCAACAGACTTAGAATACGTAGTGCTGTGGTCAATTATTTAGCTAAAAATATGCTTAGCATATTTATTTTCTAAATTTAAATATCTGCTTATTGGGTTTTCTGAAAATGCAGAACACCGAAGCTCACTAATTTACAGGTACTGTAAAACATTTGTGCATCCAACAGGAAATAGAGTCTAATTGACTTGGGATTGATTCACGTGTTTAGAAAACATTTCAGATAAGAGCTCCCTGAAAAATCACAGGTCAACAGCGTTCCAGCAAAAGGCATAAACAAGCTTCTAGAAAATCATCAGCAGTTGCTCCAACTTTCCCACATCCTCCGTTCAGACCACCATCTCACAGACTTCACCATTTCCATGACAGAGTCATAGTATTCAGATTTGTTCTTGTATAGAAATTATACACTTTGTCTTGTGTACACACACAACACTGTATCTGTCCACATATGTGTATGTACAATCTCCAAGCATTGCCTAAAAGAGCTCTTACAATCCAATCAGTAAAAGATACACCGACAGGGGCCGGCCCGGTGGTGCACTCGGTAGAGTGCAGTGGCGCTCCCACTGAGGGTTCGGATCCCATGTAGAGACCAGTCCGCTCACTGGCTGAGCACGGTGCGGGTGCGACGCCGAGGGTTGCAATCCCATTGCCGGTCACAGTACGGGCGCGACACCAAGGGTTGCGATCCCATTACCGGTCACGAAAAAAAAAAAAAAAAAAAGATACACCGACAAAAGAAAATAGAGAAAATAAAGAGGCTATCCATAAAGAAGCAATAGTAAGATGCAAAAAATATATTAAAAAGTTTAATTTATTATCAAGATAAAAAATTGGAAAAAGGGCCGAGCCCATGGCGTACTCGGGAGAGTGCGGCACTGGGAGCGCAGCAGTGTTCCCGCCGCAGGTTCGGATCCTATATAGGGATGACCGGTGCGCTCACAGCGCTTACTGGCTGAGTGCGGTGCAGCCGGTCTCAGAAAGGACAAAAAAAAAAATTGAAAATAAACACTAAATTTCAGAAATTTTCCATATCAGATTTTTAAACAGTTTAAAAGTATTAGTTGCCAGTGTGGTGAAGGTGTGAGGAAAGAGGGAATCTTTTACCAGGTGTGGGGTTTTAAACTGGCACAGCTCCCTGGAGACCACTTGATAATGTGGATCAAAAGCCATGAACATGCCCATAGCGTTTGATCCAGTAATTCTACACTTAAGGATTTTGTTGACGGACAAATCATATAAACACCCAAATACTTATGGAAATAGTATTGACTTTAGCCTTTAAGTAATAGCCAAAAATAGGAAACTCAGAAATGTCCAATAACAAGGGGTTTAGTTAGAGGAAACCAGGTACACTCAAAATGGTATCCCATGCTTGGAAGAATGTTTTAAAGATGTAGAAGAATAATCACAATATAATTTTTAGTGGATAAAAGACACAAGCAATAAATGTTATCACTTTTTCAAAGTAGATGTTTACACACAAACACACACACATAGTCTCTGGCTGGTGGGATTATTAATAAGTTTTAGTTTCTTACTATTTGTTTTCCCATCTTCCAATTTTATAAAATGAATTCATATATCCAGAAAAAATATATACAGTAGAGTTTTAAATTTTAAGCTCATATGACAGAAGAAAATAAAACTCCTAGCTCATATGACAGAAGAAAATAAAACTCCTTAAACTAGCATTCCTAAAAATTAGCTTATTGAAAGAGAATGAAATTGAAGATAGATAGGGGGAAAGAAAGACGTTACCTTTTATTGAACATCTAGTACAGGACAGCTCTGTGCTACCTACATTACATATTTTCTTTTTACAACAGCCCCACGACCATAGTCCAAGTGACCTGTGTGGGGTCAAACAGCTTATTTGTTATGAGACCAAAATGGTCCACAGCCGTCACTTTAGAACTTTATCTTTTATAGCAAGTCTTAAGTTAAAATATTTAAAAATCATTACCTTGTACAATGATGTTCGGTTGACCAGTTTTTGATAGTAACTATTGTTACAGGTTATCTCCAAAGATTTTTTAACTTCCACTCTTTTACTAATTACTTGTTTTTTGGTAAAACAGCTGTGTTTATTTCTTCCAATGACATTTAATTTCCATTCCTGAGTATCATTTCTATGAAATAAACGTGTTAAGGCATTTTATAATTACTATAAATACTTTGAAAATATTATTCATCTTCCATTTAGTAACCAATCCAATATTTATTTCCTAATTTCTGTTTAAAGAGATTCATTCATTGCTGCCCAAACCCTGTTCCACCTCCACTGGGTTCAGAGCAGCAAATTCATGGGGAGAGAGGTGAAACCCTACGTGTGCGCACACACACACACACACACACACACACCCTACTGCAGACCATACATTATGGATGTCAGAACAGCAAATGTATAAAATTTCAATGACCTTTGGGGACAAACAAGTTCAGAGATTCTTAGCCCAGGATGGGAGAGTGACTTTGGTCTCATGGAGTCTATAAACAAACTCCTGATGTTGTTTTCTGAATGTGTGTGCATTTGCATTAGGCTTTATATTTCTCATGGCAGTTTATTCCAATCCCCTTCTCTTACTGTTGAGTAAACCAAAGTCCAGAGCTGCTGCCTCAGCATAACTGTATTAGCAGTTTAAATGCCTTACTGAGCAAAAGTGAGTTTGCATAAAATTCACATTTGTTGTTCCTTCTGATAGAAATTAGTAATCTAGAAGAAAAAAATTAATAGCAATTTTGAAAAAGAACTTTTTAAAGAGAAAAGATTTGCAATCTGATGTTTGCTTACACTGCACCTGTGATACATAGATGCACATACTAAATGCAACAGACATGTGTCGTTAAGTTGCCCTGCATGCCTGATGAATTTGTGCCCGCCTTAGGCTCTTCCAGGTCCC